ACAGGAGCGGGAATAGCGATACCAGAAGGGTAGGGGGAAGAAGGGGAGAGGAAGGGAGAAAGGGGGAACCGATCACAGTGATCGACACATAACCATACACCCCTCTACAGGGGGAAGAACAACAGAAAACATGGGGGAAGGGAAACAGCAGTCGGTGGGAGAGATGAAAAAAAAACAATGTACAATCTATCTGGGGCTATGAGGGTGGCGGGGAGGGCAGAGTGTGTGTGTGTGGGTGGGGAGCTGATACCAAGGGCTCAATAGAATGTAAATGTCTAGGAGAGAATGAAGGCAACATTTGTACAAACATGCCTGATTCAACTGATGTATGGATTGTGATAAGAGTTGTATGAGCTCCCAATAAAATGATATTTTTTTAAAAAGAAACTATTCTGAAATATTCTGGGCACAATCAATTAAAGTCTAATGGTCTTGGGGGAAACAAGAAGACAGGCAGAGTTCAAGTCCTTGGCTTTCCCATTCAGCGCTCTTGTGCCTCACTTCATCCCTACTCCTTGTAAGGTGGGATAGTGGGTTACAGGTTACCCTGGGTCCGTTCAAACCCAGCACTTGCTCCATGAAAGAAAGGTGCAGTTTTCTGCTCCTGTAAACATTTCTAGGTTCAAATACCCAAACGAGTCTACGCTGTCCTACAGGGTCAACGAGAATGACTGGAAGGCAGTGAGTTTCCTTACCGTAAGGAGCGCCCTGGAAATTTCCTGCCATCAATTCAATTCCTTCCCAGAAGGAGCCCTGGAGGAGCCTTCATGGTGTAGTGAGATACTTATTGGGCTGCCGACCAGGTCAGTAGTTCAAAACCACAGTCACTTCCAGGGAGAATGATGAGACTTTCTATTATTCCTGTAAAGATTTAAGGCTTGGAAAGCCCTCGCAGCAGTTCAACTAAGTCCTATGGGCTCACTCTGAATTGGAACGGATTTGGTGGCAGTGTGCTTCTTTGTTTTTAAGGAGCCTTGGTGGCACTGTAGGTAAGTGTTGGGTGCCACCACAATGTCAATGGTTCAAACTCAGCAGCTCCTTGCTTCCGTGAAGATTTACAGCCTCCGTAAACCTATAGAGCCGTGGTTCTCAACCTGACCCCCCAACCATAAAATTATTTTCATTGCTACTTCATCACTGTCATTTTGCTACTGTGATGAACCAGACGACCCCTGTGAAAGGGCTGTTCGACCCCCAAAGGGTTTGAGACCCGCAGGTTGAGAACCGCTGCTCTAGCGGGTCAACTGTGAATTGGAACTGACTTGATGGCAGTGGATTTCCCCTTACCATCCCACTGCCACGGTCCACTTTTATATCTGCGGAGAAAACCCGCCAAAGCAGCAGCCCACGGCAGAACATTACCCGATGGTTACATCCAGATAGGCATAGGTTTGGGGGTATTTATGAGACTGGATTTTCTACTCTTCTGAGTGCAGGCCGTTTTTCATAATAATAATTAAAAAATCAAAGAAGACTTTTTAAATAGACAAACTCACCACATTCTAAGAAAAGCAAAGTGGCAAATGGCTCAGGTGGGGGTGGGAAGAATGGCTCTAGTTAGCCTGGTGGCCTCCTCCCGGGGATCCCCCCAGCCTTGCACTGGGGACAGCTGTGCCTCATTTGAGGGATCCGAGCAACAATAATGCCATGTGGTGTTTCAGCCATGTCCAAATGCTTCCAGCCCTTCTTCTCATACCCCCACGGCAGTCCTTGGAGGGTATGTCGCTGTCCCCAGTTGACATTAGCTCACACTGTTGTTGGTTGCCCGGGAGTCAGTCGATGCTCTCTCCCGGTGGCTCCGTGTGCACAGGGCAGAGCTGCTGCCCAGGGTTCTCAGGGCTGTGACCGTTGGGAAGTGGATCGCCAGACCTCTCCTCCGAGCCACCTCTGGGCAAGTACCTACCGCTTTGTGCCGCCAAGGACTCTTGCCCACAATAAACGCTCCCAATTTTCACTCTCTTACTATAGGCACTAGGCTTAGTTCTAGGTACTTGCATCTATTAACTCACTCTACCCTGATAATTCTGTGTGTTAGGTATTACTACTACCTCTTTTTATAGAGGAGAAAGTAAGGCATAGAGGAGTTAAATAATTTGCCCAAATAACAGTCCACAAAGAAATCCTACTTTGGTGAGTGGTGACTGAGGTTTTAAAAGCTCCCTGGTGGCCATCGAAGATGCAGCTATTGGTCTCTCCCTATCCAGAGGGAAGAGACTGATGAACATTGAAAGATATGTGGAAACAATTAGTCCAATGGACCACACAAACATCAGACTTCCTGACCCTGAGATCAAAAAACATAGAGGGTACCCAGCTATGACTATCAACTGCTCTATGTAGGACCTTCTAAATGTGAT